TGAAGCTATTACTTCTGAGAAAGACTCAAAAGCCTTTTCTGCGCAGTCTAGATTAGTCACCGATGTCCAGTCTACTGTGCTAATTATTTGCACAAACTTGTCCGCGTCGAATCGGCGTTTCGTAGAGATGTTACTGGCCTTGGTATTTTCGGAGCCCAGAATGAAAAATACGGGATTATGGTCTGTAATGCTATGATCTATTACACCTGCTACGTGTTCAGTGGAAATGTTGGAGATAATATGATCTATTAGGGTATTCGAACCTAGTAAATCGTTTCTAGTTGGTGCTGAGATATGCGACGTAAAGCCATAGCAGTATAAACAGTTCATATATTCTAAGCACGATGCACTATCAGGATCAATAATGTTTATATTAAAATCACCACATAAGACAACGTTTTTATTTTCCCTCACTAGGTTATTAAGAATGATGCTTAACTGATTACAAAAATCGGAATACGACGATGAAGGTGACCGATAAATGGAAGCTATAATAGTACTACGGCTATTCAATGGTATAACACTATGGTTGAATTCAAGCCAAACAGATTCACATAAAATATTATTAAAGATTATGTCACTACGGCGTGTGTAGGTTAAGGATGAGTTGACAAGTATGGCACTACCGCCACCACGACAGAGCTCCCGATTACAGTATTCGGAATAATAACCTGGCAATCCGTACAAGTTATCCTCATTACCAGACAACCAAGTTTCAGATAAACATATGACAGAGAATGAATGTTTAAGCAAGGAAATCAACGCAACAAGGTCATCCTGGTGCTTTCTAAGACTGCGAATGTTTAAGTGAAGTAGTGATAGGGATGGTGACTTCTCGAGTAGCAATTCTGATGTTTGCTGGCACGAGAACGCAGCCATGTTGATCTAAGGTCAGTTTAAAATGGGGACGGATAGGATAACTAGGAGAATACTCGGAGATCTTCTGCGCATGCAATTCGAAACACGCGACTGTCATCCGCCTTTCTGGCTTTGATTGTACAATTGTCAGTCCAGAGATGCTTCCACTGATTGGCCTTCTTAAGCGCAAGTGCCTGTGCAAAGAGGCGCTTTCGTTCTGGTGTGAGATGGTCATTCACATACACAGGTTTAGGGCCTGTGCTCTGAGAAAACCCTATATCTGTGGTAGACAAGCGTGCCTTTCTTGCCTTTTTAGCGAATTCAGCCTTCTTGTTTCTCGAACAGAATCGCGCAATAATGTTGCTTCCATTCTTTGCGGGCACCCGATGCGCGGCGTCTATGTCTGTATCGGCAATTGGACAACCAATCTTCTCACCGATAACCTGGACGACTGCCAAGCAGTCTTCGCCCTTTGTCTCAGGGATTCCCTTCAGTTCAACATTATTAAGTCGCGAGTATTGTTCGAGATCACACATTTGTTTACTGAGCTTCTTATTCTCATCCCTCAGGACCTTGTTTTCTTTAGTTAGTGCCTCATTGTCATTCTTTACACGTTCACAGAGGTCATTGAACATCACAAGGCTTGTTTTCATCTCTGCGACCTCCTGCCGAAGAGCCTGTATTTCCTTTGCTAGTTCCGCGCAAGTCGGCATTCTCAAGATAAGTAATGAAGAAAAGTATACTCAAAATACGGAACACAAGACACAAAATAAAGACACAAACACACAAGACACAAGACACAAAATAAAAAAATAAACTATATAAAATATATTGAAGGCAGCAGTGGAAGCGAGAAAAAAAGCAAAACAGAAAGGAGTGCACCGAGAAGCAACGAACCTGGACGGAGTGAACACAAGGGTCAATGCTTGTACACAGCCGCAACTACTGCTGCCAAAATGACAAGCAATGGCAAACGATGGTCTATTTGTAGGGCTCCTTGTCCGGTAGATGGCGAACGTAGCGGCTGAAGTTCAGTGACGTAGCTGCACGTGCCGAGGATACAGCAGGAGCAGCTAAGCAGTGCTGTCCAGTAAGCCGTGCAGATAAGATTCACCACCTGGACGGAGCGAACACAAGGGTCAATGCTTGTACACAGCCGCAACCACTGCTGCCAAAAAAAAAAGTCGCGGGAACTAGGCATATAGCTGCACATTCCCAGAAAACAACACATAAAAGTACAGAAAGCTGAGATAGTTTACAAAGACTACTACTACACTGTCTTCATCTCCTTTTTATCGCGCTGTTCTTTTAGGCCTGCTCTGAGCGTGGTAATCATCGCTATGGCCATCGCCGTCGAAAGTGTAACTGATAGGCATAAAGAATAAAACTGGAAGATTATACCCAGAAATGAATGGGATTAGAACACTGCAAATGTAGCAGTCATGCATTTTAACATTATGCTGGCACTTCAAACTTGTTTAAAAAAAACCATATACGGCCAATGTGCGGGGAAAGGAATCGCGGTAACCAGTGCAATATTACGTGGCAGACGAGGAAGTTCATGTTGAGGCCGAGCACGTGGAAAAGAGGGCATGGAGAAGAATACGCAAGACATCTCGCCCAGTACACAATTTCAGTTCAAATGATAAAAATTAACATTGATCCCACGTGCTAGTTCCGCAAAGAGTGTGTGCTTGAATGATTCCCGACCCCGTGAAGGGGCTCGTTTGTTTGTTTGTTTGTTTGTTTTTAGCGAATAGACTGTGACATACACACTGGGGAATCGGCCAATCTAACGTATTGTATGGATGGTAACTACAGAATTGCTTATAAACGTAGTATAAATACTGTAATAAATGCTCAGCCACTAAACCACGATTCTTCGTTGCCATTAGCCACAGCAGCATCAAACAATTGCACACCTTACAGATGCGTAGTGGGTACTTCGCTTATCCACAGCAAGACGAGTAATGACGTAGCGGGTGCTGTACTAATTCACAAAAATTATGACTTACGGTGTAGTCGGTGCCTTGCTGAAAGCCAAACATTCAAACGTAGTTGACCTTTGCCCAATTCCAAGCTGCGTCATAATGGACATTAGGCAATATTGAAATCGTCAGTGATTTGTTTTTGTATTTCTATGCTAGCGTCTGTGGCTTTTTTTATATTTAAAAGAACATTTTCAAATAAAGGCATTTCTCACTGAAATATACGTGTTTTACCACTATTCAAGCAATTAGCTGTTCAAATGAAAATATTAATGAAATGTTTAGACAATGAGCTACTATAGAGTTACAAACAAAGTTAAAAAAAATGCCTACGTACGGCCAATGGTAATCTTGAACACGCCGCACTGTGTGTCGTTCGTTTCGAACAGTAAAACTTCTTTCCAGAACGGTTCCTCGTCGTCTCCAGGATAAAGAGAGAAAAAGAGGTGAGAGGAAGTTATATGATGACATGATCATTGCGGTGTACTTTGAAGAAGTTCGCGCCCTGTTGTATATTCCACGTTCCTGGGCTATCAAATTAGGTGGAATCAAGCATAGGTGCAACTCTAGTTCTATTTCAATTTCCTTGATTTTTCACTTCACTTCAACCAAGTAGTGACTGGTTCACAGTGAACAATTCGTGGCAAGTTTTGTCATTTATTGAAGCAGTAGACCCAACTGTTTTTGCAAACTCAGTATCTTAGGCACCGTGAATCAAACATGTCTACTTTTTCTCATCATACGGTGGCGTTTAAATATAGTGCATTTGTTTACTTTATAGAATTGTGGGATTCTCCGCCTGGGTGTGTTCTATCTGAATCACGTGATGACTTTTTATTCTTTAATAATAATCAATGATGTTCAGCGACTTTTGTCATGCTCTTTGTTGTATTGTATTTCCCCACTCCTGTGTTACTTTTTATGTAATGTTTTGACCTACTCATACGATAGTCCTTCAGGGGTTCAGTATGTTAAAATAAATAAAGAAGAAGTAAATAAATGAATGAATAAGGAAATAAATAATGTATACGGGCAGGCAATCACGTTTGCGCTCACTTCGAAAAAGAAAAGCTGCGATATTTTCCGTGTTCCGTTTCAGTTTATTGAAAAGAGCAAAAAAAAAAAAAAACGTGGCGGATCTCTCTCTTTTTAGGAATCGGTATAACACTAAAGTGAAACGAATCCTCGCACAGGTAGCTGAGCGTTCACTGCACATTGTTTCGTGGCAACGAAGAAGGAATGGATGCTACAGCCAGAAATTGCAATGTAACATGAAGAAAGGCAAGCAGATCGAAACTTGCTGTGGATAGCTTGAGCAGAAAGCACGCACTAAATGAGAATACGCAGGATGAGCATCGATAAACAACTGTCACAGCTAAACACCTAAAGCGCGTAGCTCGAACAGAAAGAAAGACGCACGAAGAAACGCACAAGTATACACCTACACGAGCAGCGCGAACTGTCAAAATTCTTACTTCTTCGTGTGTGAGCAGCGTGCTCATTTTATAAACGCGGCTACGGCAGCGACAGAAAGGACTTCAGTGCTCAATTTGATAACTGTAGCTTCGAAGAGAACTTGCGGCGAAAGCACAAGAGGTACAAGGTGCGCGAATCCCCAGATAAGCACTCGCGCGAGTGACGGACGACGCTGGAGAACATATATATACGCACTTTCACGACGCCATTTGGAGGCGCGGGCACATTGAGACGCCCGGGGTGATTTTCTTCTTATGCCATATCCGGTTTATGCAAAACCCTCTAACGGTGCGAATCCTGCTTCTGATGTTGTCGAAAAATATGAATTGTACTACTAGTCTCAAAATAATTATTCCTTCCACAGCCGTTTAGAACGTTTCGGCATCGGTTATACTCATTGCAAATGAATTTACGCACCAAAGAGGAACGTCATTTTACATGGCTGGTGTGCACAGTTCGAGTTATGCTGGTGGTTCTAGTTATTGTGACAGTGAAAGAAATTTCCAACTATTTCGACAAAACAATCTCTCTTCGTGTTAGAGCAGCATGAATATGGTAATCGACTTACCTAAATAAGAAACGTTCATTGCATTGTAAGTGGTCAGTGTGCTGGTATTCTGATCTCTATGACGTGCTGCTTCATAAGTAAAGGTTCCTTTTAGCGGTGTCTCTTGTTTCTCCGGTCGGCTACTATACATTGAAGAGATGCACTTGTAGCAGTCAAGGGCAGTATACTTAATTAAATGCGAGCTTTACCTGATGTTTAGCCAAGAATACTTTGTATATATAACCTCTTCGTCAGACATATTGTGCGTAACATCAAAAACGCAGTAGTATAAAGTGATTCTCGTTGTACTGTACGTCCACACCGGCTCCGTGGTGTTGAAAAACTGGAGCCACAATACAAATAAAATTAATTGGTGATGTGTTTACGTAAAGGGGAGAAAAATTTGTTAGGCCTTTCTATGTATTGTTTTAGCGTGCTCACTAAAATTGCTCCTCTTGCTCTGAAAACACATACAACCATCCGTTGAGCTTGGCTGAACTATTACTTGAAAGGGTTACTTCAGTATCGTGTGTGTTTTGCGTATTCGTGTGCTGTTAACTTTCTGAGCTATGGCTGTCCTTTATTTAATAGCCAGCCTGTAGGTCATTATTAGCCTAATCTTGTCGTTTCTAATCATGTATAGAACGTGTTTCGTCTCACTCAGGTTGTGCTAATTAAATTGTGGCCAGGTGATGGGATAATTCAGCATAGGTATGTTGCTTCATTTCATAAGAAAAAGAAAATAAAAGCACACCGAAATGCATTTTGCAGTTGTCTAAGGGATGCGTGTTTGTTGGTTTCGTCTTACAAGGCTTTAAGACTAATCGTGTCCGCTTAGGAAAATTCAACTTGATGCGTGCGAATCTTGCCGGTGAGTGTCATGTATACATGACACACCACACCACCCATAGGTGCCGTGTGTGACACCACGTATAGGTGGTGCGGTGTGTAACTTTCAATGCTGTTTTACCCTTCAAAAACGTTAGCGCTCAGTGTACTGAGAAAGAACAAGCTATAATGTTTTGCTACTTGTGGTACGTATGGTGAAAATAATTGCACCACGCATATACAATTCCATTTACGGCTACTAGAAATATATCTCTATGTTCTCAATTGTTTCTTTGTTTGTGAAGATCCCCTACACTTTCCTTGAAGGCCAATCTCAAAGAATTGCCGTGCCACAGATCTTCTCTCATCGCCTGCAATATCACACGAGAGATGAATGAAACTCGTACGCTCTAATTTTGTGCAAAACGTGGTAGTTTTGCGATACTACACACGTGCTCACTACGTCAAGGCAAGTGGTAGTACATCTCACTATTCACTCACTACGTGTAAAATCCTACAGACAAGATTCTGACCACCAACAAGTTCCGATCAAGTATTTCGAACTTTAAATAAAGCTGTCTGAAAATCTGAGCATTATCTTCTAAGTAGTCTGCCGTCAAAAGATACACTATTGTGCACAAAAGCAAAGCAACTAGCCGGCTGTAATTTTACTGAACAAATGACATGATTAGACAGCGCTTAGCCACGTCATGATAGTCAGATGATTCGGGAAGCAATTCGTACACTCCTGCCAATAAGCTTATACGGTTCACGAGTCACCAGCATGTGGTAATGCCCCGACTTTCCCTAGTATTACGTAATTTGTAGAGATAGGCCAATAGCACTAAGATCACGCTGTTGCCCTGAAAATTTCTCGAGAGAGTATATATGGTAACGGTGCACAGAAAAAAAATACCTTCAAGTCAAGTGCTAGACTATGTTGTAACAACCGAGTGCTGCGGTAGTTTGTGTGCAGTGACAATAAAGGTTTTGCGGGCAGGCACACGCAGCATCGAACAAATACAGCAATTTCTGTGCAGGAGCTATTATTTTTTTAGAATAAAAGCAGAGTAGAGGCAGGCACTGCTCCAGAGGAAAGCTTTCTTTAACACTGTTTTTAAGGTGTCATCTACTAAGTCTCACTTGCAATGAATCAAAATACGTGGCGTCATCCATCCTTAGCAGCTGACGTTGATGCGTGTGTACGGGTGTTGGGATTGCGTGAGCGAAGCGCCACAAGATGCGTGTAATAAGTCATTGATGTCATCACAGCAATATCTCACGATAATGCAAGAAAGACATCTTTACGCTATTACGCGGATTTTATTTTTATAATTTCGCCAAGGCCTGCAGTTTCGGTTTTATTAAGAGGCTGCTGCTACACACGAGAAAAAATCATGTCAATGTAAATAGCACGTCGATATTTTCATACCACCTGCAGGTATTCTCGTCGGGTGCTGGAAGCATTTGGCTTCCTTGGCCCTAATGTTGGCCTTATTTTTAATGAAATGCGTAGCGTGCTTCTAGAGATGATGTACGCAGTGATGATGGATTTCAATTCCCGATGTTTAGCTCTATTGATTATCGCCAGCTTGGTGGCGAATGGTAGGCTCTTTTGCCTGACGACGTACGCCCGTTATAAAAACGAGCGTAGAAACGAACAGTGACCTCGCACGACGACTCTGCGGTACAACCACGGTGAATCGTGGAGGAAAACAAGCCATAGAAAAAGAAGTTTCCATTTGATCCACATGGGGTCCTCCCAATCACACCTCTTTGTCTTAAAAGCTTGCGGCAAAAGTTCCCTTCCACGAGGAAAAACCAGAACATAGTGAATTGAAGCGCAATTCGCAGAGTGTTTCCCGCTGTCCATATGATATGTCCATATGGTATGGTCCATATGGTATGTATACCCTCTGTTTTCACTCAATGTAACCATACAATTTTCTATGGGTTGCAGTTACAACATAACCGGGATTGAAAATACTTTGATAACGAAGATCATCCAATTTGCATCAGTTCCCAACTGTCGGTTTTTACTGTATATTGTATCATACAATATATCCAAGTATACTGCGTTTCTTATTAGTAAGACATATGCGGGTTTGACTGTATACATGCAGGATTTAAATATTGACTGCAAGTGATGAGGAATTGTTCCGCAGGAAATGTAAAAGCCATTGTACCGACACGAGTGCACTGGATCAGGGGAATGAAAGACGGACAAAAGTAGCAAGTCAAACTTGAAGGTTGCGCATCTCTAGTTACCGGGTCGCAAAACATTGCTTGGGCCCAACAAGAAGCGCGCAATGTGAAATCATGTCGACATGAAGCCTCCTACCCAATAAAAAAAGAACGGTAGTGTATAATAAGCCTGGCTACTAGTATTTTCATTTTTCATGATGGCACAGGATGCTGCGCGCTATTCAATACTCGAAAACAAGAAATAATACTATTTTAAGTGTTATCGTTAGCGGTATGTCAAATTTTCAGCAAAACGCAGAAATACTACTCGTAGTTTCATCGTATTTATTACGAACAAAACAGTATATGTAAAGTTAGTAAGTATAGCTATTATTTTATTCACCGGAGCTCGAATGTGTGTTCGCGTTGATTCCTAGTGACTATACTGATTATCGGCAAATGTAAATAAATTGTGTGTATGCCACCAAACAGAATACCATATTTTAAAAGGCACTGCTCTGCACGTGCGCCTTTCGGAATCAAACTATACATCATTAAGCACCTGTTCCAAATGTATACTTGGAGTGATGTATACGTGCTATAAGAAAGTGCTTGCAGCATGTTAGAGAACCAAAATTGTTCAACAAGGAACGATACAAATTAGGCTGATCCCACGTAGCTTGCGAATCAACGTTAGGCGAACGATTCGAAGGGAAGATGATTATCTTGCGATTCTTTCATGGAGCGATGCCTCATGAAATGACGCTAAATGTATCTATAAATGTTGCGCGCACATAGATATTGATACAAAATAGCCGGCACAGCCTGGCTGCAAGAAAGAGAAAGACGACGTTGGTGGCTGGTTGTTGATGAACTGTCGCCATATTGTTCGCGGAGAACAGTGCATCATATTTAATTTATTAAATAAGTTACCCGTAACATTATTGGTGGAAGTGGACGACTCCCGTACCTCGATGGAGACGCGCAGCGGTCGCCACACCGCGGACTCTTCGGCTACTTCAACTGCCAGTGCCTTATCCCCACCGGTCTCTCGATCCGAGTCGACAACCTACGTCACCCTGCCACTCCTGCGGGATCCCGGAACTTTCTCCGCTGACGGTACCATCGACGTTGACTCCTGGCTGCACCGGTACGAACGAGTCAGTGCTACCCACCGCTGGGATCCCACGCTCATGCTCGCCAATGTTGGGTTCTACCTCGACGGCACGCCGCGGACATGGCTCGAAACCAACGAAGCCGAAATCACAAGCTGGGATCTTTTCAAATCGAAGATCCGTGATCTTTTCGGCGATTCATCTGGTCGTCAGCTCACTGCCAAGAAGACTCTCGCCACTCGCGCCCAGACGTCTACAGAATCGTACGTCTCATACAGTCTTGACGTCTTGGCGCTTTGTAGCAAGGTCGACCAGCGCATGTCAGAAGAAGAAAAAGTTAATCACCTCCTCAAAGGGATTGCTGACGATGCCTTCAACCTGCTGGTTTTTAATAATGTCTTGAGCATCGACACGATCCTGACCGAATGCCGCCGTCTAGAACAGGCAAAAGCCCGCCGCGTCACCCACAGCATCACGCGCCTGCCGAACACAGCTGCTACTTCCACTTGTGATGACGCCGTCCGCCCAGTTCCCCGATGTGACAACCTCACCCGCATCATTCGTCACGAGGTCGAGGCAGCCCAACCAGTAGCTACTCCATTTTCAACGTCTGATCCTTCACCGACCGCTATCTCACTGACACAAGCCGTCGATCGTCAAGAATTATCGAACGTAGGCCCACACCCCATTCAACCAGTCTACTCTGCCGAGCCTTTTTATCGTCGCCCCTCCACTCCTCCAGTTGGTTCCAACTACTCTCGACAGCGCGATTCGTCCGAATGGCGTACACTGGGTGACAAGCCCATATGCTTCAACTGCCGACGTGTCGGTCATATTTCTCGCCACTGCCGAAATCACTGGGCTCCGCCGGCACACTATGGGCCTCCTACCCAGGCCACTTCTGTCCACCAGTCGTCCTCAACATTTCATTTTGATTCCCCTATGTTTACCACATCCTCTGATTCTGCCACACCTCTGACGAGACCTCGCTACGCCCGCCAACCATCCCCTGCTCGCCATCAATCTCGTTCGCCGCCACAATCAACGCCGTTCTTCCTCTCCGACCTATTCGCAGTGCCCCCGACCGGAAAACTAGGCAGTGCAGCTTCTGGAGGTGAAGCTGCATTGACGACGACCTCTGCAAGAAATCCTCGTGTAACATTACCGACCACCCGGAATCTGTTGAACGTTACTTTAGACAATGTACCTGTGCGCA